TGGAAGGGGCAGCATCCATGGCACATTGGTAGGGATCCCAATTCGTCGGTCACCGACGTGACTCTGAGTGACCGACTGAAAGGGAACGTCTCGGTTACGTATGTAACCCTCATTCCCTGAAGGAGGGAACGGAGACGTCCCGTCGCCACGGCTGCTTTACGATCCGACGAGTTTGAAAATCGTGCAGTGTGAACTCGGCATAAGCGAGATCCCAATTCGTCGGTCACCGACGTGATGTCTCCATTCCCTCCTTCAGGGAACGAGGGTTACATACATAACCGAGACGTTAAATCTGATCATTTGCAGGCTATATTAAATTTGACAAAATATCACTTTTAAATACATTGTTAAATGGCTACAATGGCCTTTCCTTGGTATAATACTTGGTGTAAAAATACAATAAATAGTGTAACCCATCCCATTTTGGTTCTGGTTGTTTGCTCCTAAACAGTCTTCTATGTATCACTGAAAAGTCTATTTAATTTTAGTGAATCGTTTCATTTGTTTGTGTAAATTAATTGATTAAAAATTATTCACCAATTACAGCTCCTGCAAAGCATTTGTTTTTTGTTCTTTTTTTATAGAGGTAGCCTATATTTACTGACATTTTGCTGTTCACTGCATATTGCATTTAAATGTTCAGTTATTTTTGTTATAAGAAAAATGTTATTAAACCTGTTATACTGTATTATGACAGCACTTTTTAAAACTAAATTTCAATATCGTGATAATACCGCATACCGTGATAAAAGCATTAGCAATTAATCGCAACATGAAAATTTGATACCGGCATATCCCTAATATACATTTAGCTGTTTTTGACTCAATACTGTAAATTAGGGCTTATTCTATTTATTTGATTTTATTTTTTAGCTGTATTTAGTGTTAATTTATCCACTCAAAGTTTGATGTTGAAAACCAAATTGTTCATTCATTCAAAAAAGTCAGTGTTTCTATGTCAGACAAAAAACACAGCTTGACTAAATTATGAATTACATCATTGGATAGTAGTAGAAGATACTGCCCATTAAAATAGCTTCAGTGTGGTTATCTACCATTTGCTACAGTAACGGTAGTAAAGGTACAGCTTGTAGTAAAACAAACTACCATCTCAAAAGAGTTGCTTGACTAGTTTTGTTCACACAGAACACATTTTTCACAAATGCAGGCCGGAGGAATGAAAGATGAAAGAAAAAATGCAACAAGACTTCTTTCAACTTGAGCGCCGTGTTTTTGAAATACCTTGTCAAGCACGAGACACTGCAAAAGATGCAAGAAGCGAAAGACGTCTTTCTAGCATGTGTTTATATAGAAAAACAATGGGAAAACAGCTCAGTGTGATGCAAAAAACGATTCTGTATTAAGAGCCCATCACTACTTTAAGTTATAAGTAGCTTCTACCTTGACAAATTACAGTTTATTTCCAAACATAGTTGCAGACAGAGATGTGGGGTCAGTGATGTCATACATGAAGCAGCAGTTTTATGGCAAAATTGGACTGTCACACTCAACTCAAAATCAGTGGACTAATGGCAGTCTGTTCCTCTTTATTCAGTGCTTGCACTACCTTCCTAAAGACAAAACAGCTGCAGCACCTGCTGATTTTATAGGCATTTTTTCACTGAAGTAAACACAGTCTCCACACGTCAACATGGCCTTTGTTGGTCTCATTCGCTCACAGACTTTGAGTTTGTTTATGGGGTTTTGAAGTGGCCAAACAGCAGCCAAAAGAAAAACTGAAACAGCGAGTGTTTCAACAAATGCTGTCTGATTATGAAACAGTACATCCTGGATTGGCCTGGTGAGATTTAAAAACTGAGTCTTACGAAATGCATTATGGTAGCACTTCTCGAACCCGGCATTTGCAAGTCACGTGGGACCGTTATAACTCAATGACTGTGCAGGACTGTCACACACAGATACTGGTTTCTCATGTCATAATTTGAAAAATGGTGAGGAATTTTCAGTTTCAATTTCACAGAGATTTTATTCACATCAAAGGTTTAGTCCAAAATGGTTATGTATTATAGGGGAAATATTGGATTATCTGGGTTCATTGATGGTTTATATATAAAATCATGTTGATATGAAATACAGTATCAACCTGTGACACCAACATCTTTCAGTGTGAATAGTACAGTATGCACTTGATCTAAAACTGGTTTTCTAATCATTTTTTAATTATTCTGCGAAACACAGAAACTAAAACAACTGAGAAAAGTTTGCGAATTAATTGTGAGTAATGTGATCAATTTTCACACTACTTTTTTTTCTGAATCTGAGCAAAGTTGGCCCAAGATTATTCTTATAACGCAAAATGTAATTACCATTTTTATTACCAACTTCTGGATTTACTGCTTTTATTCAAGCCTAAAATATTATGTATCATCACTGAATGAACCTAAATACATTATTTATAATCAGGTAGACATATCTGTAAGGTAACAACTGCAGTTTACAACTCTTTACAGTGCAGTATTATACATGCGTTTTTAGACAACATGGAATATTTGTACTTTAAAAAATAACTTATCTATTTACTTATGCAAAGCAATCATTGGCAGCATCCTCAACACCCTAGCATCATAAACCAACAAACATTACTTATATTTTCTTAGGGGCTTAATGGTTAGAGAGTCAGACTTGTAACCTGAAGGTTACGGGTTCGAGTCTCAGGTCCGGCAGGGATTGTAGGTGGGGGGAGTGAATGACATACATGTCCAAGGCTTCTCTTCCACCCTCAATACCACGACTGAGTTGAGACCCATGAGCAAGGCACCAAACCCCCAACTGCTCCCTGGGCGCCGCAGCACATGGCTGCCCACTGCTGCGGGTGTGTGTTGTTCACGGTGTGTATGTGTTTGTTCACTACTCACTGCTGTGTGTGTGCACTTGGATGGGTGAAATGCAGAGCACAAATTCCGAGTATGGGACACCGTACTTGGCCACACGTCACTTAAGAAAAATTGACAAGAACTTCTTTAAAGTTTTCACATTATTTGTCATCTATATAACATCAACTGAATACTGTACCATATACTAGGGATTTGAAAAGCACTGGAGCCAGAGTAATTTAAAAAGTGAGTGAAGCATGACCTCCCACTGACTCCCACTACATCCTGAATCAGAGTGTATGAGACAGACACTGAAGGTCTGTTCACTCACTGATGTCAGCCCTCAATCACAGCACAACAACACCATCTTATCAGCTCACAAACACGCCATACAAGCACCAAAAGAGGAGTGAGTCAAGTTCCTTTACAACATGATTACTGATTCGTTTGTTCACATGTTGTAAGTTTAGGACTATTTCATGCAACTTTGTTCATACTGCATACTGATTTACCAATAAAATTTGCTTTGTTTGCTTAAATCCTATAAAACCTAGTGTATCATATCACATACATACGTGTCCAAGGCTTCTAAATTACCAACACAAACAAAACTTTGCTGAAAAACCTGTTGTACACAATATGTGACCCTGGACCACAAAACCAGTCTTAAGTCGCT